TGATAGTCCGAGCTGTCTAGGTGCTTTTCCCGTTGTCTTGATCCTGTAGGTAGGTAGTAGCCGAAAAAATTGCTGTTTCAGAAATTTTTGAATTGTTATACCGGAAATGTTAGCGACCTTTTTAGCGTATTATTATATATATATGCGCATAATATATCGTAACCAATAATTTGAATGGTCGGTTTTTCGCTTAGGAATTTGATAGGGTGTTTTTTCGTGAATTATTTCGAATCCTTGTCGATCCCCTACTATTATGTACTATCGTACTTAAAATGTTATTTAAACAAAGTATGTTAAAGATGTTCTGTTCTAAAATACTTCTTTCATAATGTAAGATCGTTGTGAGGCACTTCAGACAAGGTTGGTTGGTTGGTAGAAGCTAGATGAAAAATAACAGTGGGTTCCACAAAACATTGACTCTAAACCTTACATAGGCACGGTTGGTTTCCATTTTTAGATCGTAATTTTCAGTCTCGATGTGTAATGCTTCTTTATTTCTCGTCAATTGTAATGTACATCTTATATCTAGAATGTTGATGTTCTAGTCGAACTCCTCTTTCCATGGGTTTCTGTGTTCACTCACATTAGTCATAGCTTGTGCTTTATATTCGTGTTAAAGTTTCTGTTTTCGGATATATATATATATTTATTTAATGTTTTTTTTTTTCAATTTGACTGACGTATTTCATCCCACAACTACATTTTAAGGCGATGATTATTTTGTTGTTGTTTCTGTCTGAGTATAGATTTCCTAACCTTTCCAGTTGTTATTGGAATGTTCGGTTTATTTTGTAAACTATTTTCACACCTTTTTCTTTCTGTATACAGATTCGTAGTTTTGACATAGTCGAGGCAATTAAGGAAACGTAACCGTTCGTATATTTTTTAAACAGGCCTTTTGTTGGCGATCAGTAATTCTTGTCAAGTAGTTGGATAACTTTTTTGTTTTTGGATTTTATGTGTGTCTCGATTGAAAACAAAATGTACGTTATATTTTCTAGAGACTGTTAATAAGCTCTTGATAATTCATTATCTAACTCCACGAGTGAAAAGAATCTTAATTGAGATGCTGAGGATTGCTTTTAGATTTGCTGTAAGTCTTTATATATTATGTTCATCTTTCCTCTTTTAGTCGGGGAAGGGTATCTGTTCATTATATCCCATTGGCAAGGTGAGATAAGTCGCTGAGCATTGATTATTTAGGTGTTTAAGAAGCTCATCTAATTTTTCTTTTCATAACATCAGATGACAAAAGAATCGTCCTTTCTCTACTATTTAGGAGGTTTATAGATAACAGAAGAAAATGCTCGGTTTTCTAGCTTTTACATAAAGTTCGAAGTCGCTGAAAGAAACCGAATCTTACACCAGAAGGTAAATTCCTGAACGAACTTTAAAAACTGTGGTACAAAAAAAAACCTACAAATGTGGTGAAAAATCTTGTTAAATTTTATTTTATTGAGAAATATCTGCTTGTAAAAATGACTTGGAAGCAATATAAGAAAGTTCACTACTGTTTTGAACCATGTTTGAAGTACAACTGGAACTTAACCTTATATCGACTGACTTTGAAAGCTCAGTTTATTTTTCCCCATTGTAATTGACAGGGCCGAACACGGCCAAGTGGTTGGCGTGCAGGATTGTGAATCTGAAATTCCATGGTTTGCGTCCCGTTACTTTAAAATATAAATCGCGTTGTGACGGCCAAATCCGACTATCTGGCCTCAAAAGACTAGCCCAAGGGTTGGCGGTGGTTAGTGTTGACTAGCTGTCTTCCCTCTAGTCTATCACTTCAAAATTGGGAAAGACTAGCGTTTTGCGCGGAATTCAACCAACAGACATAATCAACAGTTTTGTTTTTAAAATGTTTTATGTATCAGTTTCTCAAGTATTTTGTGGAAGCTGTATATAAAATGCATCGTGTAACATGTACCTTGCTTTAAAAGGAAAAGGAATTTTGCTTAAGTATAAAGTAACAACGTCAATGATATCTTTATATTTAGGAAATTGTTTATCATTTAAAAAACTTGCGACATGATCAAAGAACAATTTTGTTTTTTGTTTCTAAAATAAACTGAAATTGTCGGCTCAAGTGTTCTTGTATTTATTAACTCATGGTTATCAAAGAATATTATAAATGCTTTTAATTCCACATACACACATTCTAATACTGATGAGAAAGAAGAAGAACTCGTTCAAACATAGTTTATTTACTCACCTTTACACATTTCTATCAACCCACTAGAACTTGTAGTTTAAATTCTGTAACGTCGACCAAATTCGGCTGATCAGAGATATTATATGTCACATCTGCACTTCCGAGTTGCTTTAATCATATGGAATTTCTCAAGTATGTTTTTATCACAGAATTGCCTTTTGCACACAGTTTTGTTAAATAAATATCCAGAAATATTCTGCTGATAAATATTAATAAGGTGATAACCCATTTTACCCCTTCCCCCCACCCCACCCCCCAAAAAAAGAAAAATCCATAAAGTATTTGTAATTCCATTCCCTTGTTCAAAATTCAATAAAGATGATTGAACATGGACGAATTGAATGATACAGATGGAAATTTTTAACATGCATATATGCTTGAATGATTAGATGTCTGTGATTTATCTTGATTCAGTGGACACTACTAATTCGGTCACGTGATAGTCTATTTTCTCGTTATCTTTCTTTATATATATATATATATATATATAAGCTTTTCGTGACTGGCTGACTAACTAAAAAGGTAGTTTCATTCCCGAAGGAATGGACGTGTGAAAATTCTACATTTTTTTTTCCTCCAATTTTTTGTAATCGATAAGCATTATAAAACTTTTTTAATCTGTTATTCTTCTTTCGCAAATTATTAACTTTTTGTGTACGTTCAATTTGTGTGTGGTTTTCAAGCTTTATCACTTCTACACTAAGTTCTTTGGTTATGTTTGTCTATCAAAACCTTCAAGCTTTATCACTTCTACACTAAGTTCTTTGGTTATGTTTGTCTATCAAAACATCTCTTATGTTTTTCTATAGTTTGAATCATTACACCACCATACTTTTTAGTAAAAAACAACAACAACAACAAAAACTCGTAGTACTATTAGTGTATCAACGGACTACAATTAGAAAAATATTAGTAGACACTCAGGGGTTCATATCGCATATATCCTTTAACTTTGACTCGGTCTCTTGGTGGATTGATTAGCTATCTAGCTGACCAGTGGACGCAGAGTAAACAATTTGATATGGACCATTAATGTCGACTTTTGTTACTGTAGCTGTGTAACTCCCAAGATGCGGCCAGAAAAGAAAAATATTTCTCGAGTTATATTTTTTGATAGATAGCTGGTGCAATATAATCCT